GTAAATATCATACCATATTTCTTTTCTCTCTCAGTCTTCGTCTTCTCCTTACTATCATCCTGAGTTTTGATTTTAGAGTATTCCTCCTTTGTTATGCTCATGTAGAAACAGAAGTCTGTTTTCTTGAGGTAACAGTGCATGCCTGGGTTGAGCTGTAGCCGAGGCTCCCCCGTCACATTCTCCACATCTAGGATCCCTAGTAACGTAACACCATACCTGAAACAATGACAATTACATGTTACCTTAACCTTTCACAACAATAGCTGAACAGTGACAGTTTAATGTAACCTGGCTTGTTACAGTATAGTTTAATGTCATAACCTTAAGGGTAGTCGGGTGGGGCAGTGGTTTAATAGTTAGTGCACTCACCTTGCACCAAGGTAGCCCAGATTTGTGCCAATGATTGACAGTAGGAAAGGTATATGACTACTTGGGTTTTCTCGGGTACTACAGTTTCTTTCCATATTAAGACCCTGCTACGCACCTCCATATGGGGCCAACAAGAGTAATTGTTGTAGTTAAAAACTTGTTTTGTACCAGGTACCAGGTTATTGTAAAATATAAAAAGTTCAAAGTTTTGTAACCTTTGTCACGACATAGAAGCTGGAACACTATGTCAGTTTATGGTATCTTGATTACTTTGAAGTATATTGAGGAAAGAGCTTACAACCAACTAAATTCGAACAAGCTCCTTACTGAGGTTAAATTAAAGAAGGATTTCAAGCCCTGTTTATTAATCAGAAAAAGTAGCATGGCTTACCGTTTATGAGCGTCGGCTGATGCCTCAGTGAACTTCTTGCCTTCGTATTGACTGAAGAAGGTACTCTTACCAAGCTGGATGTGGTATATTTCATTTCCTGAGTGTTGACCATAAATCTGCTGCCACGTTTCTGTTGCTAAGGAGCCCTCACTGAAATAGTCAACAATGTAAACAATTGTAACCAAGGAACCATGGACAAATCATACAATATAAACATCTGTTGCTAAGGAGCCCTCACTGAAACAGACAACAATGTAAATATTTGTAACCAAGGAACCATGGACAAATCATACAATTCTGCTCTTGTGTTTTGTCCTGTTGTTCTGTGGCTATTGTATCACATCTGTTGAGCAAGGTGCGTACGACGCCTAACTTCTGGTGCAAAGGATGGTGAGATTTGATGTGCAGGTACATGAATTCGTCCAAATGAGTCTTTTTTCAGGAGAATACAATTTCCTATTTAGAGTACAAGCCCACATGTAGATTCTGATTTTTGTTTACTAGCATACAGTACCTATGTTATAATTTTAAAAATTTTAACTAGTCCCATCAATCTACATTTACCAGCCTTCGGCAAGAGAATTGTACACCCCTGAGATTACTGATACAGTAAAACCTCAATATAATGCCACTCGTTTCATATGCCAGCTCGTAACCACCAAAAAATTTCAATGTCCCCTTTTTCTGGTTTTGTTAAGAACTCCTTTATACATTTCCCTCAATTTATCACCAAACCCCTGTAATACGCCAACATTTATCTGGACAAATAGTGGCAGTATAATGAGGTTTTAATGTACAAGCACAATTCAATATATAATAACAAGCTTTAACCCTTTCACCCCTTGGTATCTTTAGTAGACTCTACCATACATTTATATTGGCGAGTCCATTTTGGTCTACAGTGTTGAAAGGGTTTATGACATAAACACTTAACTCATTCACCCCTGAAACTTCATAATGAACTATTCCAACCTTTGATTTGGAAGAGTTCAAATGTGTCTTCAGGGGTGAATGAGTTAATATACTTACTATCCTGTGGAAGTATGCATCAACAGTGACACCAGTGTAGACAGGCCGGGGTACAGACAGTTGTTGGCCAGTAGGACATACTTAAACTCGTCTTCACAGACCACATGTTCTACAACAGACGGGGGGATCTATTATACACAATATACTACAACAGACAGGCCGGGGTACAGACAGGTGTTGGCCAGTAGGACATACTTAAACTCGTCTTCACAGACCACATGTTCTACAACAGACGGGGGGATCTATTATACACAATATACTACAACAGACAGGCCGGGGTACAGACAGCTGTTGGCCAGTAGGGCATACTTAACCTCATCCTCACAGACCACATGTTCTACAACAGAGGGGGTATCTATTATACAAAATATACTACAACAGACAGGCCTGGGTACAGACAGTTGTTGGCCAGTAGGGCATACTTCAACTCATCCTCACAGACCTCATGTTCTACAACAGAGGGGGGATCTATTATACAAAATATACTCAACAACAGACAGGCCGGGGTACAGACAGCTGTTGGCCAGTAGGGCATACTTAACCTCATCCTCACAGACCACATGTTCTACAACAGACGGGGGGATCTATTATACACAATATACTACAACAGACAGGCCGGGGTACAGACAGGTGTTGGCCAGTAGGACATACTTAAACTCGTCTTCACAGACCACATGTTCTACAACAGACGGGGGGATCTATTATACAAAATATACTCAACAACAGACAGGCCGGGGTACAGACAGCTGTTGGCCAGTAGGGCATACTTAACCTCATCCTCACAGACCACATGTTCTACAACAGAGGGGGATCTATTATACAAAATATACTAAAACAACAGACAGGCCGGGGTACAGACAGGTGTTGGCCAGTAGGGCATACTTAAACTATGAACTATTCCAACCTTTGAATTGGAAGAGTTCAAATGTGTCTTCAGGGGTGAATGAGTTAATATACTTACTATCCTGTGGAAGTATGCATCAACAGTGACACCAGTGTAGACAGGCCGGGGTACAGACAGTTGTTGGCCTGTAGGGCATACTTAAACTCATCCTCACAAACCACATGTTCTACAACAGAGGGGGGCATCTATTATACAAAATATACTACAACAACAGACAGGCTGGGGTACAGACAGTTGTTGGCCAGTAGGACATACTTAAACTCGTCTTCACAGACCACATGTTCTACAACAGACGGGGGGATCTATTATACACAATATACTACAACAGACAGGCCGGGGTACAGACAGGTGTTGGCCAGTAGGGCATACTTAAACTCATCCTCACAAACCACATGTTCTACAACAGAGGGGGGCATCTATTATACAAAATATACTACAACAGACAGGCCGGGTACAGACAGTTGTTGGCCAGTAGGACATACTTAAACTCGTCTTCACAGACCACATGTTCTACAACAGACGGGGGGATCTATTATACAAAATATACTCAACAACAGACAGGCCGGGGTACAGACAGTTGTTGGCCTGTAGGGCATACTTAAACTCATCCTCACAAACCACATGTTCTACAACAGAGGGGGGCATCTATTATACAAAATATACTACAACAACAGACAGGCTGGGGTACAGACAGTTGTTGGCCAGTAGGGCATACTTAAACTATGAACTATTCCAACCTTTGAATTGGAAGAGTTCAAATGTGTCTTCAGGGGTGAATGAGTTAATATACTTACTATCCTGTGGAAGTATGCATCAACAGTGACACCAGTGTAGACAGGCCTCGGTACAGACAGTTGTTGGCCAGTAGGGCATACTTCAACTCATCCTCACAGACCTCATGTTCTACAACAGAGGGGGGATCTATTATACAAAATATACTCAACGACAAACAGGCTGGGTACAGACAGTTGTTGGCCAGTAGGGCATACTTTATCTCATCCTCACAGACCACATGTTCTCCAACAGAGGGGGGATCTATTATACAAAATATACTACAACAACAGACAGGCCGGGGTACAGACAGCTGTTGGCCAGTAGGGCATACTTAACCTCATCCTCACAGACCACATGTTCTACAACAGACGGGGGGATCTATTATACACAATATACTACAACAGACAGGCCGGGGTACAGACAGCTGTTGGCCAGTAGGGCATACTTAACCTCATCCTCACAGACCACATGTTCTACAACAGACGGGGGGATCTATTATACAAAATATACTCAACGACAGACAGGCTGGGTACAGACAGGTATAAGCTGCTTGGCCTTTAAAGTTAACAGAGGAGCAACATCCAGTCAATTTTACCATTAAGCGACTATGAGATTATTTGATGTACATCAAAGGATCAAAATAGTCTTCATGTCTCATCCACAAGGTGATTGATGCACATTGAGACTTGGTTTGTTGCGAAGACATATTCCAGGGGTGCATTGAGCGAAAGTGAACGTAACCCCTGGAGTATCAAGTATTGGGATCTGTCCAACAAATGTATTCTAATACAGAAGAGGGGATCAGTTAGGTCCCATGATCGTTGATTATGTCAATGTTTACCTTATTATTTTGGAACCTAAACCACACAAATTCCTCAGCATCTTTACCTGCAAATCTCACGTGCATCTTATTCTCAACCCTAAACAGCTGAATGTACTGCTGACACTTCGGGGCGAAATCCTTCACAGCCCAGGAGCGCAAAATAGTATGCTTATCCTGAAAAAGAAAAATGTGTGAGTGTAGTCAAATCAAAATAGTATGCTTATCCTGAACAAGAGGCCCAATGGGCCTGAATCGCTCACCTGGTATTAATCTCACACTTGTAATCTTAAAAGTGGACTAATGTACAGCTACAGGCAAAATATCTGTGTTTGATTCATTAGAATCTATTAAATGATTTAAGCATATGACGCCTGTGACCTCGAAAGTCAAACAATGACATTAAGTTGAACAGAGTTTATAGCCTTCCGTCCAAGCATGCTTCTGGCCAAATATCATTACATTAAATTTGCACCACTTTTACAAAATACCAAACTAAAGCATAGGACTTGTGTAGAGAGTATTGATATACTTTGCAAGTTCATAAAAAGTCTAATAGTTCCTTGTCTTGAAACATATCTGAACGCTGACACTGATGCTGTCATTGGACAAATTTAGTCGGCCATTGCAGGGACACAAAAATTTAGGTTGTAATTTTTTAACAAATAGTGGAAGTTTCTAAGGCATTACACAAATAAAATGAAAACATACCCTGCCTGTCCTGTCAAAAATATTCTATGAGGCACCATCGAATAAATCCTTTTATTACATTTTTCGCCAGTGAAATATCGGATTCTATCAACTTGATAAAACTGATATCTTTCACACTTTGACAAATATCGAAAGTGTGAAAATATCCCTTTTTGGTATTGACCAATCATAATAGTATAGATCTTCTATTCGCTGCATTCTAAGGCAATAATTTTTTGTTCAGATTCAAATGAAGCGACGGTAGAATAAGTGGTTGTCATGGTAAATCTTCGGTACACACACTTAAGTGTTTACATAAATATACAATAAATCACATATTTATAAGCAATAATACCAGAAAATAGCAGAAAACGTCGGAATCGCATTGAGTATCCCATTCAAAATGGGGCGCAGCCTTGTTGTCAAGCATGTATGGCGCAAATTATTACGCTTCTGATTCCAACCTTTTTTTAAGGTGGCTCGACACATCGTCATCAGCGTCCATTTTCGNATTACATTTTTCATGTTTTATGCTTTAACAAGAGGCCCAGAGGGCCTGTACTGCTCACCTTAATATGTTTAAATTAATTGGTATGAAGTAAAGATATAGCATTCCTTGGTAGGTGCTGTATGTACATATAAAATTTCAGAAAGATCCATCCAGTACTTGAGATCGAGCGAGAGAACAAACTTCAAACAGAGCCCAACCCCTATGCCCCTAGGGGTGTCATACCCACCGTTTATACAAAATTGAGTCCCCTTGGCCCAAGGATGCTCCAGACTAAATTAGGATAAAATCCCTTAATCCCTATGGTAGAAGAAGGATTTTAAAGGTTTTACCTCTATTTCCCCTATTGGGCCCCACCCTTCTGCCCCCTGGAAGACCACACACACTGCTTATACAAAATTGAGTCCCCTTGTCCCAAGGATGCTTCAGACTAAATAAGGATAAAATCCCTTAATCCCCTATGGTAGAAGAAGGGTTTTAAAGGTTTTACCTCTATTACCCCTATTAGGCCCTGCCTCTCTGCCTCCAGGGGGGTCAGACACACCGTTTATACAAAATTGGTTTTCCTTCACCAAAGGATGCTTCATACCGAATTTGGACAAAATCCTGTCATTTGTACAGAACAGGAAGGATTTTGAAGAATTTGCTATGTTTCCCCTATTGGGCTCCTCCTTTCTGTCCCCAGGGATGTGTGGGAGGGGGGGGGGGGGGCACACTCGCTGTTTATAGGAAATTGAGTCCCTTTTGCCCAAGGTTTTCATGAGTGCGCATCACGAGTGAAAAAATTTCAAAATATTTCCACATAATATCCTCTATTATCTATACTTACCGCTTTGTCCTTGTCTGTACAGTTACCAGGCGGCAAAACAAAACATGCCTCCGCCTTGTTTATCCTGCAAGGCAACAAACGTAGTCAACACATAAGGTGACAGACAACAACACATCATTGATCATATTATTGTGTTATATAAGTTTATGATAGAATTGCTATTACAGTTTGTACCTACACATGTAATAAACAGACCATAAAATTATGACAGGATATGCGTAAATAAATTTTACCTGCACCGTTTGAGGTCAATGTCCTTGAGAGCTGACCCCCTCATATAGATGACTCTGTTAGCCCATTTGGGGTCACGTATGATCATCTGCATACTACTGCCCAACTCGTTAGACCCGAGCAGTATTACCGTGTGCTCCTGAAATGTAACAGAAACTTTTCTCAGTGGTGTCCTGATTGATCATTAATGTCTATAATTAAACTATAAGAGTTGATTAAACTGAGGTTAACTAATACAATGTTCATGTACCTCAGATATTACCACACATCACAGTTCACGAGAATTCTTGTGCACAAGCTTTTTATTACGGACGAATGGATTCATACACAGACGGATGCACAGAAAAAGATACCTTTCGGAATTCCCGTCAAGAATATAATTTGGCGTCATAGTATCACTGGTCCTTGACTCCTTAAACAGTATGACGGATAGACCCCGATTGGAAAACATCAAACTAAATATTTTTTGTGCAGTTGAACTTTTGCCTTTTTCGCCCTTCGTAAAGAGGGCCAATTTACCACGACATTGAAAATAAGAACACAACATACCATACATAGAAATAGCATGTTAAGGGCGAAATTAACACTGAGCGAAAAGGAATTCTAACAGTAAAGGGGCGGAAATTGGACTTGGCTTAGTGTACAGTATTAATTTATAAACCCTCACTAAATGTGGGCTATACTTATAACCTACCTCAAGTTTAGGATGAGCATAAAATTCAGTGAGGAAATCCATGACGGCCTCGGAGGAGAACTGCTGACAACACACAATCACATGTTTGTTGCCTTCCGCCTCACGACGACTGTACACACCTCCGGCTCGTTGTCTTTCCATCCAGGTGGAGCCAATTACCTCTACCTGCACAGGTGCAAACACCACAGGTAAATTACATGTTTTTTTATCATATGACATGAATATTACATTATGTATTATTGCAAACAGTGGCATCAGAATTACAACAGCAGTTATGACTTAATGATTTAATGAAAGGTAACCCAATATCATCTTGGTATTAAATGTGATAAATACAATTTTTCATCCCCTTAAGGGTTGGATAGGGGAATCTCAACACAAGGGAAAGGTTCGTTAGTTGCAAAACAAAAGGCTTGCTGAGTGTATAACAACTAAAGAATCTTTCTCCTGAGGGTTAAGATTCTCCTGAGGGTTAAGATTCTACAAAATTTTGTGGAGTGGAAATGCTTAAGGTTTTTTATATTGAGTATATTAGTACGAAAATATCTACATGCAATTATCTATTTGTACATTATATATATTTGACAAAAGTTCATAGCCACTGGCAATGGGAACATGCAAGAATTTCCACTTGTACATTAGCCTGGTTTCGTACCTGACGTGGGATGAAAGCGAAGGCTATACAAATCATCAGGACCATGAACACCTGACCGAGCCAGATATCTGGGGAGATGTCTCCGTAACCGACGGTGGAAAAGGTGACGATGGTGAAGTAAAACGACTCAAACATGGTGAGAGGGGATTCCAGACTGGATCTCTGTATGTGCTGGACTCCACACACCCTGTAACAGCACATCGTAATCATGAATGTTTCAGTGTTACAGATCCTGATCAGTGAACAACATACTTGAACCTGAAATTAACTGAACATAACATCAACATTACCCAATCTTTTTTTTCAATTGATGACCTTGACCTTGAACAGTTCCAATTAACCTTGACCTTTCACCAGTCCTCAGAAGGCAACTTTGGCCTTGACCTTAAACTGCACCAGTTAACCATGACCTTTCAACAGTCCTCAGAAGGTCAACTTTGGCATTGACCTTGAACTGCACCAGTTAACCTTGACCTTTCAACAGTCCTCAGAAAATTAACTTAACTATACTCACGTGGTGAAGATAAGACAAAAGAGTGTGACGACGAGGATAAACAGCTGTTGTGACAAAGTCACAGAGATTTCCTGGAACCTCTGTTTGGTGATGTGAAGGTCATTCTGAAACATAATGAATCACTGTTAAAGTACTAATAACAGACACCAATTTGAATGTATCATCAAACTTTAACAGAGAAGTAATTAGAACAGTCATCTTCTATAGAGGGTCAGTGTTATTCCATTATACAATTATGAAATTATAGTAACAATGGCATTTACAGTTGACTAAAAAAAATGCACAAACTTTATATATTTTACAATAATTATGAAATAAGTTATTTCAACATATCTTAATGTGGGAGGACACCGGAGTACCCACAGAAAAAACCACAAGGCCAGGCAGGTGACCCCATACCTATTCACATCTGATCGGGGAATTTTACAGTTTTTTCACGGTAGATATAGATATGTGATCAGAATTTGGAAGGGTTATATAGTGACAATGCCATATAGTTGTAAATATATATATCTATATACTGCGGATCCGAACAAACAAATGTATATCCTTTGACTGAACATACAAACAACTTTTCCAGGGCAAACCTAGCCAGCCAACAGTTGAGGAAGGAGGGTACAAACAGGTTTCTGAACAGCAGTGGATAGCACACCTGTCAAAATCAATTCATTGAAGAACATCAATTGAGGGAACTATTTGGATCAATTTCATTAATTTACCTTGTCATGCTAAATCAGATTTTCATATTGAGATCTTTTGGGAAAAAAATATTTGCAGAAATATTATCACTATAATTGTGTATACATGTGGTATCTGAGGCTGATAATGACAAGCTTATTTTTCCAATTTTATAACACAAATTTTTTATCATGAAAATTCATTGCTTATAATTTTGTTGTTCATGGATTGTCATTCAATCAACAATATGATAAGACAGTCAAACTTCAATATTTCAAATTTTGCGGGACCATCGGAGAGATTTGAAACATGGCGACTTGTGAACACCTTTGAGATACTGTACATAGTGCGTAAGACCGAATGTTGATTGAAGGAACCCAAGGCAAGAAATTTAATTTGAAATCTATAAATATTGGATTTCATGTAATTAGAAAAATATGCTTGCATGTATTTATACACTGTTTGCATGCTTACACGATTAGAATTACACCCACACATTTCAACATTCATTATACAGAAAATTACTGTGATTTATTAGTTGTAATATTAAAGATTTCCAAACCATCAGACCATTATTGCAGTTCAAAATAGTGAGAAATTCAACTCATAAAAGTGTGATTCATAAACGGAATATCAGTCGTGTTATATAAGGGAGAAAACCTGGAGTTTTGTTTTTCCAAGAAATTGGAAACTCCCACTGAGTTTCATTTAGGAAAATTTTACTGTATGATATTGTAAAGCACTTATGCTAAATGGCAGAAACAGTAGGTGTTTCCTGTTAGGATATTTACCGTGAAAATGAGAGGTGCCGAGCAAAAAAATTCCAGGATAAACCTAGACTGGAGCATAGTGTCAAATCTGGACTGGTTTCCCTGTAAACAGAACTCATACATATATTTGTGGGCCGACACAGTTATTATATATGTAGTGTCCTAAATACTGTATACCTGGACATTTTCACTCAGTCAAACTTTCACCCTTCGCCAATGAAATCAATTTTTGCCAAGTGTTAACCCTTTCACCACCGTAGACCATATTGGACTCATCCAGATCAATGCATGGTAGAGTCTACTAAAGTTACATAGGGGTGAAAGGGTTAACTTTCACCTTCACATGTAATTACTATGTTTACTTTTATTTACTGTAAGGATAAATAAAGACAAAAAAGTCAAAAAATTAAACTGCAGCGAAAATTCCCGGTATACAGTATAACCTCAAAGCTTAACAGGATAAGTCCTGAATCAGTAGAACTTGGATATAACTGACAAGGGAAATCGTGAGGATGTTTTGATAACTTGATTGTGACCATATTAATGTTGAGTGTTATAAAACAACTTAATTTGGGCTATTCCCCCAATGATATTTTTTAGATCATATCATATAACCTTAAAAGTAGACAACACAGAAAGTGATAACATTGTATACCGCAATATTTGTTATGGTATTTGGATTTCTAACATCTGATTGGTCGAAGTTATTCAGCAATGAAAATTCAGAAATTAAGCACAGCATTGTGTTCTGAGCAAAGTTCTTTGTTTTTGTCAAAAATGAAAAAAATATTCAGCAACTTATAAATGAAATGTCTTTCCTATCTTTTTGAATTATAAACAAGGCAGGATATTGCAAGGCAATCCATAGTCCTCCAACGGTAATGATTTCTATATTTAAATAAAAAGTAAACTTATATCAGGAAGCATAGGTCACAGTGAAGTCATGGTGACCTTCTTCATGCACTCAGCCATCCCCAGATGTCCTTGTACACCAAATCTGGTTACTCCAGGTGAAATAGTATAGAAGATATGCCCAGGACAAACATTTTCAAAAGTAAAGGTCAAAATTCAAGTCATAGATCACAGTGACCTAATTCTTGCACTTTGCACTCCGCCATCCCCAGATGTCCTTGTACACCAAATAATAGTATAGAAGATATGCCCTGGACAAACATTTTCAAAAGTAAAGGTCAAAATTCAAGTCATAGATCACAGTGATCTAATTCTTGCACTTTGAACTCCGCCATCCCAAAATGCCCTTGTATACCAAATCTGGTTAATTAACTCACTCCAGGTGAAAAAGTTTAGAAGATATTCCCTGGACAAACTTTTTCAAAAGTTAAGGTCAAAGGTCAAAGCATAGGTCACTGTGAGGTCATAGTGACCTTATTCTTGACTCTGCACTCCGCCATCCCAAGATGTCCTTGTACACCAAATCTGGTTACTCTAGGTGAAATAGTATAGCAGATATGTCCCGGACAAACTTCTTGGACAGAGGGACGGACAGAGTGGAAACCTATAGTCCCCCCTGGGAACCGGTGGAGGACTTACTTTAAGGAATATAACCATGATCATTTTTGGGGTTATAAGGTATATACCTTAAAACTGTGTACCCTTTTGTGCATAAACTTTGCATATTATTCCAAAAATATTCAAATTTATATCATGGTACTCAATTTCAAGGGGAAAAAAATTAAACCACAATTATCCAAACTGAGGTGGTTACCATGGCATACACTGACAACTGAAAAGTCTTGAATCTTGTGCACATTACTCACGCAAACTAAAACAACATAATCATCAACAAATTAGTGAACGGCAATTTTTTTTTACTTTATACAAGGTATACAGGCCATGCTCTTAAAATCAGCCATTGACTGTAGGAATCAAGTCAAGTAAAACAATACTGCTATTAAATCATATGCCTTTCCTGTGTATTTTGAGAATTGCCAACTTCCTTAATACGGAAAAATTGAAGGCATATTGAAGTATTCATTTTTTGCTTTGTGTGATTTTTTTCCAAGTCTTACTTGTTATAAAGCATCTTAAACAAAACTATAAAATTGTGTTCAGGTGGAAGCAAAATTTCAAAAGTCTCAAATTGTTAAAAAAAATATATCTAAATCTAAGGAATGTTTGGGCCAAAATTTCATCCATGGACCATTTATAGTAAGGAGAAAAAAACTTTCCAACACCAGTGGCTATTTGTACAAAAATACAGAGGAATAGATCAACTGTATATGTATGTACAAATAGTAATTGGAAGTCTGTGGTTTGAATTCGTCTGACCTAGTGGCATTTTACTCAAAACACTCTTTTTGATTTTATTTGTTTCTATATTTCATCTTTATTTTTCACAAGAGATCTACAGGGTATGGTTTTTCTTTTCAGAAATTATTTATTAAAACTATCGATCGTCATACTGTTAAAATGTTTCCAACTCACTGATACAGTCTTAGGTAGTGTTACTGGGATCCATAACCATCATTCATTCTCAAACAAAATCTTCTCAAATAACAATTGAAGATGGATTCCTGCTGGTTTTCAGCATTATTTAACAAATTACAAAAGAAACAAGGTAATACGGTCATTTTAATACAATCAAAGAAGGTAGAAATTTTTCATCTATAACAAATGTACTACCAAAAGAAACAGCAATTTTAAAATATTTTTTAGTGTTTTCTTCAAATTCCGTTGTTGATGTCAGGAATATTCAAAGTGAGGCGGAATTATGTTGACCTATTGGGGTCATGTTATTGTTTGTGATGTCATGAATAATCAACTTCATCACATGTCAGGGTCAGTCAGGGTCACAGACATCATTAATGATCGCCATCCGGGCTTCATATGCAAATGTGAAATTTGTGGACAGTATATTGTATTTATACTGTCGCAAATTATTTTGATTGATGAATCAAATGTCGTGTTACATCTCAAATGAATAAGGATGGTTCATAATTCAAATAGCTAAAAGCTACCATACAGTTGTTTATAGATATGTAATGAAAGAATCAGGTATTATATTTCTTAAGTTCTGCATGGTCCCCTCTATTCTAAATGCTGATTTTTCTTATATCTACACAAAGAAATTGCATGGTTCAGGTACAGCTTACAACTCAACATAATCCAATGATATTTACTTATATATCATACAGTTTGTGTCAATTCCTTTTTAAATTCATAACTATAAGAAAAGCATGACAACGTTATGTTTAAAAAATACTTAATATTAGCTGGAATCCATCTTCTAAAGAAAAACAATCTCACCTTTGCTATAAAAATGAAAATCAAGGCCTTTACAAAAGTGGCCATGGAGAGTACTACCTGTACAATCCACAGGGGTAGGGGGCGGTGTACCCACAGCAACACATGCCTGTCAACACAGCCACAACACATAATAGCACAACCAAATCAAGGTAATAGAGCACAACCAAATCCATCTTCGCTAGCCAAGTGTTCGCTTCGTATACACTCCACTTACCTTTGGCAGATACAGCCGTGTTTTCATAATTCCCTCCATGGCCACCTAGCGGATATACCGAGTTATTGCTCTTCTCTCAAAAATTGTTTAACCAATCAGAATGACCGTTACATACACACTCCATCGGCGGTGTTGGCATAAGCATGTGCATGTCGAGAGCAATATGGAAACATTCAAAATGAAAGAGATCGCAAAGCGTTTTAACATTAAGCATCTGAGGGAAATTCAAATACTAGGATTGCAGGCTATTTACACGTGAAAAGATATTTTCGTGGCAACTAAAACTGGTAGCGGTAAATCAATGATTTCTGAATGTGTCCCGGTCATCTATCCAAATGCCATCGTTGTACAGGGTGTCTCCATTACTGTTTACCTACGTCAAAAGCGCCATATGTAAGACGCAATTTCATTGGATACGAGCGATTGGTGCCGCACGAGAATTTGAAGGCTTGGAAAACACGTCTGTATCCGCCAAGGGTAAGTGGATTGTATACGAAGTGAACACTTGGCTAGCGAAAATGAACCAAATCAAAATAGTGAGTTTATAGTAAATAACAAAATCAAAATAGTGGGCATAACAAAATCAAAATAGTGGGGGTTAATACATAACAAAATCAAAACATAAGGTACATTGTATACAACAAAACAGAACATAGTAAAACAAAATTAAAACATCAAAATCTATAGAATTGACTAAATCAAACATAAGGTCTATAGCATAACAGATTCAAAATATAGAGTTGAAACATTAAAAAAAAAAAGTCTATGGCATAACAGAATCTTGCATAAAAAAATGAAATATATATATGGTCTATAGAATTAAAGGAATCTAACATAAGGTATATCCAGGGGTGTACAATTCCACTAGCCCAACTCTTGGGGCTAGCAATTTTACATCAGGACTACTGAAAATTTTCAACGTTTAAAACGAATATCTAGAGCTAGATATTTTTCAGAGCTGCTTGCAATAAGGTGTAATGCACAACAATATCAAAACATGTATAATGTATCTATAAAGGAATCCAACATAATGTGTAAAGCATAACAGAGTCAAAACATAACATCTACACATAACAGTCATCTAACAATACCAAATTAACCCTTTCACCCCTACGTAACTTAAGTAAACTTTACTATATGCATTGATCTGGATGAGTCCATTATGGTCAACAGTGGTGAAAGGGTTAACAAAATTGAAATCATGCAGTCTTTGGGAGAGGTGGGCACATGCCGGGCACATGGGGTCTAGATCTACTTGTGTTACCTGCTGATCTAGACAACAGGTGAGGCTATATCTAGAAACACACATTTAGGAAGCCTAGTAAATAATACACACAACTACAATAAACAAGGTTGCAGTATAAATACCAGTTGATGGCCGCGGAAGAGTGTACCATACCATCCTCTGTATTTGAAGGGTTGACATCAGGTAGTGAATTGTTTAAACATGCCTCACCCCCACTGTGACAACAGAAACAGGGATATTTAAATTAATTAAATGATATACAGTATAATGGGAAATTTTCACCCAGTCAAACTTTCGCTCTTTGCCAGAATAATCCATATTCACCAAGTGCTACTTTCACCCTACACATATAATTACTATGTATATCATGTTGTTTACTTATGTTCACTGTTATGATAAATTCGCCTCCTAACCATGGGCGACAAAATGCTAAAAATTGAACTGCAGCGAAAATTTCCAGATATATATAGTAATGGCCATTTTAGCACCTGACAATTTTTCGGTATTTACCAAGGTCATTCCTTGTTACATAATTGTTGTAAAATGAATAAAATTTACATTACAAACACTTCACTGGTCGTGCATATGAACCTGGCTACAATCTATGTTTACCAACTTGGAGGGAATGCTTGGAAAGATGTAGATGAAAGTTTGTACCTACCAATGGTATGTAGTGTGGTTGTCAAGTTGAACTCGGAGGATGTAGAGTAAACACATCACGCTCTTTATTGTGATGTCAAATATTGTACCTATTAATCCTGTGAGTGAAGATAAAAAACAATTAAAATTCAATAAGATAGGTACAATCACTGGTTACACTGATCAATTTCATTTATTACCCAGATTTAACCCTTTCATCAAAAACAGGGATTTAAAAGGCTTCCTACTGACGTAAAATAAACCCAAGTAACATATAACGTCTTCACAATACACTGATATTAAGTTTGCAGAGCTGATGATCTTCATAAGATATTACAATAAAATTAGTTACTGTATGAAATTTTGAAGTGTTACATTCTATAAATAAAAAAATCTTAAATTTGTCAGAGAAGCTGTCATCTCAAAGTTAATTTTGTGAGGGAATGTGTCGATGAAGGTGAATGTTAAGCAAAAATCTTTAAAATATGATTGATGTTAAAATAGTTGAATAGTCATCCAAGAAAATTCAAAATGCTATTACTGTATGATTCTTAACAACAAAAGACCCAAGAGGCCTGTATTGTTCACCAAAAACTGAATGGTTATGGCAAAAAATCTTAAATACCCTGTAAATATGCTTTGAAGCTTTAAACAGCTCTGGTCTCTGACAAAGAATCTTTAACAGAATTTCCCAACTCTTAATTGTATATGATCAAAGGAAATTGACTTAATTGTTTTTTTAAAAAAGGTGCACATATAGAATTGTGAACGGAACAATGAATGAGATAAATTAGATTATACATCAGTGACAAGTAAGTTACATTAGCATTAACTTCTAAAGTGAAGGTCAATTAAAAGTAGGATTTTAGTACTTACTGGCCTTTGAGTTCCTGATGATGATCTTGCGTAGCCGGCCACGGAATGATACCTCGTGACTGAGGTCCTTGACAGGAGCGGAGCTGGAAATTTACAGTCAGGTTTCAAATATACATTCTTTTCAAAAGTTCATAATTTTTGATGTTTTCGATCATCACTGATGATCATTATGTGGTTTGTGATATCTGTAGTGGTGTCGAAATGATTCTGGTGTTAAAGTTGGTACCCAAAACATGTTAAATCAACAACAGGTGAACACTCCAGGAAGTCAAACAGAATATTCTTCAGTGCCAAAACTGTTTTCTTTTCTTTTTTTTAACAATTTCATCATATTTTTAATGTTACATATGTACACCTCAAATTCACATGAAGTTTCTCTGCCTATTATTTAAGTATTGAACTGCATTCGATTGGCATTTATGGTCAATATGAATGCCAACTCAAACATGACATATTCTGCAAAGACACTCCACAAAGCACACAGTATGCGCACTTCATGTTCCATCACAACTCCTAGGTAACTCCCTGTGGTGGACTTGGGATAGTTTGTTATGTTAATTGTTGGTAGAAAACAAATTATTACCGTACATGATATTTTTCAAAATGGTGTGTCATAGGCTCATAGCCACCATTTTTAATTTCAAATCAACCTAAAAAAACTCTTGTGTAGGTTTTTTTCTGGTCATTGCTACCGATTTTCATTTAAATCAGACAGGCAGAACATGAAAATAATAATAAAATGTGCTTTAAACAATGACTATGTGCCTGCCATCTCGTCGATCAGAGAAACAACCATTCTTGGTTAACATCATTTCAGGATAATTTCCTTTCAACTTTGAAAAAAATCCTATCAATGATATTCAAAAAGAAATACTAGATGTCATAAGTTTCTGTAGGGCAGACAGTAAATACTGCACAGCAAACACTGTCTGTTACTTGATGCAAACAAAGCTTGATAACTAAAGGTCATGACATCCTGACCCCTTTGTCGGATGATCTAAATATCTCACAAATATGCAGTCATAAAAATACAACAAATACAAACATAAACACAAGTTCCATTTGACACCTGAACATTTCTACTGTATGATAACCCTGCAAAAATATTATAAAACCTGCTACAATTTCTTTAAACTTTTACTAGTTTTGTGGCTCTTTTCTGCCCTTTGCAGGTAAATAACTCAGAACTATAACTTGTTGTTCAATGTTTTTCAAGTGCCGCAGATCATATACATGAAAAAGAAAAGATAGAGGACAAAAAAAGTACAAACTAGAACTTTACACCAGTCCTCAGCTTCTTCAGCATCGTGATGTTGTGTTACAAGGACACTTTGTGTCGCAGACAGCTATCGTATTCCAAATTGTCACTAAACTGTTTGCCTTTGAATTCACACACAGTTGAACAGAACATATAAAATTTACGTAAGCACATACATTTATCTAACCGACAATTACATGAGATCTTTAACTGAAATTCACATGTCGTCAGACGTGAATGAACACAAACACAGATATTTTTAATACAGTTGTAAAAATATTCTGAAATATTTGGATATTTTTAGCAGTCCTCAAAAGTTTCAAGAATGAGTCAGTAGATATATTTATTAAATCTAAAACACCACTACTCTAGCATGTGTGTGCAGTTTCTACGATCTATCTCTGTGACCAGGTCATAGCATGATTAGGCTTCATAGTTTACCAATCAAATTTTCGTTGTTTTTAGTTTTTTAGCATCATCAATCAGATGAAAAACAAATTTGTATTTCAGTTAACACTTTATGGGCAAAAAATTGACTAATGTAATGTTAATCATTAGCCGTTTAAAGTGACAGAACTAAACTGACATGAATTTGTTTAGATTCTCATCAGCTTGACGACAATCTATGCAAAATTTTAATCCTATCATATCTATTAAGATTGAAAACAAAAACATGCATTTCATGGTATTCAAGTTGTTAACCCATAGATAATGTACAAAAATATTATTATTTTTCTGTAATCATTGAGAAAAAATCAAATTGGAATTTGAGTTGGTGTAGCGTTAAGCTGACAGAGTATTGCTATAATGGGCATGAACAGACACATTCTATAAGCAAAATGTTTAACTCATTCACCCCTGAAGACACATTTGAACTCTTCTAATTCAAAGGTTGGAATAGTTCATTATGAAATTTCAGGGATAAATGCGTTAAAAGGTATAAGTGGTATGATCAGTTTAATTTTTCATGCTGATATATATCATGTTACATGTATACCTGTATTGCATTCAAGTGAATAGACTTTAAAAAAAAACTATTTTTAAATCTTGATGCAAACAAACCCAAACATTAAAACGTTTAAATATCACATACAGTTAGATTAAGTAAAGTTATATCTATTGTGGATACAGATACATAAATCATCATAAAACTGGAAACTTTAAACAAGAGGCCCCAAAGGCCTGTATCGCTCAATTGGATCTTTGAGCAATCATGGGTATTCAGAAGTTGTTTTAAGTTTTTCATACATTTGATGCCTGTAACCTTGAGAGTAGGTCAAGGTCATTTATCTGAGGAAAGCTTATAGCACTCCGTTCTAGATACCTACTGGCCAAGTATCATCGCCAGACTAACAGTTGGACAGTCAGCATGATAGCATTATAATGCTCTGCGTGTAAACAATAAACAAGAGGCCCAATGGGCCTGCATCGCTCACCTGGTATTAATCTCACACTTGTAATCTTAAGATTTCATAAGAACCTATTAAAAGATTTAACCATATGACGCCTGTGACCTTGATTGTCGAACAAGGACATTAGGTTGAAAGTGGATCAAGGTCATTCATCTGAACTAACTTGGTAGTCCTTCATCCCAGCATGTTACAGGCCTAATTTCAGTACCCTGGGCCTTTTGGTTATTGAGAAGAAGTCGTTTGAAGATTTTAAGACACCTGACACCAGTGACCTTGAAAATGGGTCAAGGTCATTCATTTGAACAAACTTGGTAGCCCTTCATCCCAGCGTGCTACAGGCCCAATATCAGTACCCTGGGCCTTTTGGTTATTGAGAAGAAGTCGTTTGAAGATTTTAAGACACCTGACACCAGTGACCTTGAAAATGGGTCAAGGTCATTCATTTGAACAAACTTGGTAGCCGATCATCCCAGCATGCTACAGGCCCAATATCAGTACCCTAGGCCTTTTGGTTATTGAGAAGAAGTTGTTTGAAGATTTTAAAGACATCTGACCCAAGTGACCTTGAAAGTGGGTCAAGGTCATTTATTTGAACAAACTTGGTAGCCCTTGATACCAGCATGATACTGGTCAAATATCATCATCCTAGGCCTTTGGTTACTGAAAAGATTTTTTTTAAAGTAAAAAGTTGACGACGGACAGACGGACGAAGGACGACGGACGACGGACGACGGACGCCACACCATGGCAGAAGCTCACTAGCTAAAAACACAATAATTGCTAAGTTTCTACAGTGCCTCTAAATTTTGAGTGATGTCATGATCTGCTATTGAAAGTGAAAAGATTATGAAATTTGAAGTCAGGACAAATGAAGGTTAAGGTTCAGAATATTAAAATATAGATATTAATAATATACTACAAAAATCAATACCAGAGTTAGTAAGGTAACAAGAATGTACAGGAATAATTGGGAAACAAATGGTTGCACATGGAATACCGTATCTATTTTGCTCATTTGTCAGTACAATTCAGACCTTGTTGTCCATGCTAAAACATTTGGTATACAACAACACTTGTAAATCATGGACCTCCATTCGCAATACAGTTACAACAGTTATATCCAAAACGTAACTAGAACACTGACAGGTCAGTAAGGGCCCCGTCTTGTGGCAATATATCCCCACTAATCATCAAGAAGCAATCTGCCCATATAGCCGAGCTTGATGTTTGACATTTGGACTTCAAAAAGAATCACAAGGAAGCAAAATATACATTTTACATGTACTATGATGTGAGTTTTGTTTCCTTCCACCTCCATATTTGCTGGACTAACAGAAATGTAAATACCATCGCATTACTCATTTGTTAGCTTTGATTTGTTTTATTTCACCTTATATACCCTCTCCATCAAGAGCCAGAGTCAAAGTCAGAGATCCACTTTGTCTTTGATCTTTGGACCCAAATGACCTTGACCATTAACCAAGTGACCCTGATCTTTGGTCAGTTGACTAATTCTTTAATTCCGACCAACTTTGCTTCATAATAACATAACAAAAAGTTCATCAGTAAGAAGATAAAATAATTGACCTTGACATTGACAACATGACCTTGCCCTTTGGTCAAATGACTCCTTGTGTAATTCTGACCAACATTGCTGCATAATGTCATAACAAAATGTTCATCAGGGAAAAGATACAAAATTTAACCTTCACCTTTGACCAAGTGACCTTGACCTTTGGTCAGTTGACTCCTTGTTTAATTCTGAGCATCATTGCTTCAAAGTGTCATACCAAAATGTTCACCAGTGAAAAGATACAAAATTTAACCTTGACCTTTGACCCAATGACCTTGACATTTGGTCAGGTTGACTCCTTGTTTAATTCTGATCAACTTTGCTTCATCATGTCATAACAAAATGTTCATCAGTGAAAAGATGCAAAATTTGACCTTGACCTTTGAATCTAATGACCTTAACCTTTGACCTCAACTTTTTACTTCAGTGTGTCTCTTTGTTTTATTCCGAACAACTTTGCTTCATAATCTCATAAAATGCTCATTAGTGAAAAACTACAAAATTTGACCTTGACCCCTGACCCGATAACCTTGACCTTTGGTCAGTTGACTCCTTGTTTAATTCTGAGCATCATTGCTTCAAAGTGTCATACCAAAATGTTCACCAGTGAAAAGATACAAAATTTAACCTTGACCTTTGACCCAATGACCTTGACATTTGGTCAGGTTGACTCCTTGTTTAATTCTGATCAACTTTGCTTCATCATGTCATAACAAAATGTTCATCAGTGAAAAGATGCAAAATTTGACCTTGACCTTTGAACCTAATGACCTTGACCATTGACCTTGACTATTTACCTCAATGTGTATTTTTGTGAACTGAACATTTTGACCAAGTTTCATGTACATCAGTCAATAAATACCAAAGTTATCAGCCAGGAACAAAATTTGTGGACGGACAGACAGACAGACAGAGTGATTACTATAGGGCAGCCGTATCCCCGATACGGGGCCCTAATTAAGGTGAGGTTACTGTATGTAAACTACAGTGGAGTTCTCTGGTGTTTTATCTGCAGTTGCACAGGGATCCTTAACGTATTCAGCATGTTGGTAGTTGCAGGTTTGACTCCCCGTCCTCACGGAGGCATCTGTTATCAGACAACACAAACACATATGTGACCATCAATGTTGCATTTTATTTTCAACTCGGATTTCCTCTACAGTGTACTCCACGGGTGAACAAACTAACACTTATACAAAGGAACCCCTGAGGGTAGGCAGTTATTCCGGAATTGTTATTATTACATTTTATTTCATTGCATCATTACATCATTATATCAGCCATATCCACATCACACAACACCAACTTACATCAATCATTATCAACAATTTCCCTTTAAAACTCGACCAACAAAGGTTGTTTAGATCACATAAACAAAGAAATAAGGGAAATACTGGAAGACAGAGTAGGTAAATATCAGAGATTTCATAATTTAGGCCACTACTGGTTAATGAAATATTAAATAAAATCATTTTAACAATTTAAAAACTTTTGCCCTTCCATTGTTCAAAAACATATTTGTCCAGTATTATTTTTACTATTTTTTACAAGAAAATGTCATAAAAATTGTTCTGTGTACAATATCTCCCCTAGGAAATTTCCAGTAAGGTGGACATCTTTCCTATTGGTCTTCTAAATTTTGGCAGCCGTTTTACTGTTATATTATATTTTAAAACATACAATAAAACAATGACGACTTCTTATAAAGGCACTCAGTGTGTGCATGTTCTCAAAGTCGCATGAATATAAAACAATATCCACTGAAGGAGTTTCAGTTACAAGACTAGCTTTGTTATAGTAAATTTTAAAAAGTGTATTAATATGTAGACCAGTGGCGGATCCAGAAACCTATCTGGGGGGTTTCCAAATTTCCAGGGTTTTTTTTAAGGTGGGGAAAAATTGAGGGAAATGGTGAAAATACATGATTTTTAAAGAAAATTCTCAGGGTGGGGGGGTGGGGGGGTCCTGAAGCCCAAAAAAAACCTCTGGATCCGCCACTGAATTTTACTTTCACAGGAAGCAGCATTTTCGCTTGGATGTCTTCACTGGACTAATTTAACATTATGGTAAAGTAGCAGTTATATGTAAAATGAATTTTACTTCAGAGAAAATCAGCATTTCTGTTAATGTCAAATTGTGCTTTACTTCAATTTCTTTCTTCTACAAATAACAGATATTAAAGAGAACATTATGTACCAAAGTACAAAATGCCATTTTGATTGTTTAAGATAAGACTGATTAGTGTCAAGACTACAGTAGAATTAAGATGTTAATCAGAGATCACACAGTTTAATGGAAGGAGAACACCAATGTTTACCCGTGAACTGGTGAGTCTATGGCTATAGAGCCCGACTGTCCAACCCGACGATGTACTTTAGAACCTCGGCGCTTCCTGAAAGTGATCATTTACTCTAAACATTTAATTTACACACCCAGACAAATAGAAACAAAACACCATGACAAGATGTATTAACTCAATCACCCCTGAAGACACATTTGAACTGTTCCAATTCAAAGGTTGGAATAGTTCATTATAAAATGTCAGAGGTGAATGAATTATAAGTGGCTTTCTACAAATATTTCATGATACAAAAGAATGATGTCAAAATCAGTGTACATTGCAAGTGTGTTAACTGAAGCACACACTGTTATTGCAGATGTTTTGTGAGAATTATCAGAAGACTTTTTCTTAAAGATACTATTTACAACGGAATTAAAATAACCCAATAAAGACAATCCAGAAATCTTCCTGGTATTTGCCTTACATCAATTATCAAGCTTTATGGATTAATTGAGATGTCCCGAAACAACTTTTGACACGTCCCGAAACGACCCAGAAGAAAGTCCCGAAACGGCTTGTTACCAAAATGACCTGCATTTCATACTTAAAAATATTAAATCACTATTAATGGTGTACAAATTCTTCCAAACATGAAGTAAATGTGCAGAGCCTAAACCTTTTATTTAGAATGAGTAGAACCTTTTAATGATTTTTTTTTATTAATGACACATGGTATATGTTTCAAGTAGCAAATATATAGTGAACAAATATTAGCTTAGACTTAAAGAGCTTTGTTCCTTTACATAAAGACCTGTCTAAGCATACATCGCACACCAGTGCCTAAAAAGAGTTTTTGCTTTCTCATTAAGGCTGTATGCTACATCATACTTTATTGTACCAAGGGCAATACATAAACTCTAACTCAAAGTCGGGAGTGGGCTTATTACTAGACAATGTAATAGCATTTGTTAACATTTCTACTGAACTTTATTTTATATGGGTGGGCTTATTACTAGACATGAGCTTATTGCCACATTTATTCGGTAATTTATCTCCGTTACGAAAGAGTTCCGCACTCAAAACCTTTTATGAATGTTTACTGTAATTGGATAAATTTTCAAATATGTTAGAGGGAAAACAAGAAAGCTTACACCGATGCTCATAAGTCTTGTGTAATTCTGAATTATAAATCAATCTAATTAGTTCTTATAATCTAATTAAATGTTTGTATAGAGGGAAACTGTAATCCAGCCACAGGTTTATTGGGAAAGGCAACATAACAGGTATGATTATAGTGTACATAAATATTTCCCATCCTTTTTCATTTGCTGATGAGCCATCATTTGATATAGGAAGAGCTCTGTTACTCATATCAAACTTAGGCATTCAAGTTTTAGAAGATAATCCTTTGCCATTCACTGTCATTAGTCATCCAAGGGTTAAATAGGAAAGGTACCAATATACCTTTAAAAAAGATATAAGATTTTCATATACTTAGCTCTTACTACATACTTCTTATCCTTTTTATTTGCTGAAGAGACAGATTTTTTTTTTATTTGTGAAACTCTGTTTAATCATATCAAATTCAGCTGTTAAAGAGAGAGAGCAGATCCTGCCCTTACCATTCATTGTCGTCTGAGTCATCCGAGTCGTACATCCATTTCAGGTCAATGCCGTCACAGACATCCTTCCTGCCTGAAGCCATGTCCTCCTGTTATAATAGACAAACAACTTCATTAATTGACATATTAAAGATTTTATTATTACCCTGTAAAAACTAAAACTGTATAAGCCATATAGGCTAATATCCCTGCCCCAATTTTTTTTTAAATCAGAGAAGGGGCAAATATTTGAATAGTAAAACATCACAGTCAACTACCTATGGTTCAAATTATGTTTACCTTTCATGAAAGTTAATTGGAGTACTTTAAGATTGAATTACTGAAATCAGATAAAGGGGCATAACTCTGACAAAAAAGGACTGTTTTAAACAACTAATCTCATTAACTGAGTGCAGAGGTATATAATTCCCGTTACTGTCCCAGGATTAAAGCCAATAACAAGAATGTTGTTTTAAGCACAGAATCCATGCTTGAGCATGAGAATGGTTTGATGAATATGGGCCTGGTTGTAGCAGAGAATATAGCTGGTCAAAACAGTACAGCAATTCCCATAGGGGAAATGGCATGTTTTCATTTGGGGTTTTTTTCAGATCAGATAATTGGATCTTAGAATATAAGAATAATTTAGCAAATTGGCCAGTGGAGTGGAAAATATTAAATTTAAGAGGTCCAAACTCGAGAGGATCCCTCCAAAATAAAGAGACTTTGCAATTAGAAGGCAGGTGCACAAGCTTTTAGATACCGGTGACTGTATTAGTGAAGTTTAAGAACAAGAGGCCCAGATGGCCTGTATCGCTCACCTGGAAATGTTAGCAAAATTGAGATGAAATAGCCAGATGTTGCTGCACGTGTATTACATTGTTAGTCAAGGGTTATATTTATATGCAATAGGACAAAATCCTATCATTCCTACAGGAAATAGAGGATTTTGAGGAACTTGCTATGTTCCCCCTATTTGGCCCCTCCCTTCTACCCCAGAAGGTCAGACCCAAAGTTTATACAAAATATAGTCCCCTTCACCAAAGGATGCTTTAAACAAAATATGGACAAATCCTGTCATTCCTACAGAAGAAGATGAAGGATTTTAAAGCTATTTTTCTATTTTCCCTATTTGGTCCAGATCCTCTGCCCCAGGGGGTTAAAACCCACAGTTTATACAAATTTGGTTCCCCTTCACCCAAGGGTGCTTCGTCCCAAATTTGGACAAAATCCTGTCATTCCTACAAAAGAAGAAGTATTTTGAGGAACTTGCTATGTTTTCCCTATTGGGCCCCTCCCTTCTGCCCCAGGAGGTCAGACCCAAAGTTTATACAAAATATAGTCCCCTTCACCAAAGGATGCTTTAGACAAAATATGGACAAAATCCTGTCATTCCTACAGAAGCAGAGGAATTTTAAAGAATTTGCAAAATTACCCCTATATGGCCCCACCCCTCAGGCCACAGGGGGGTCAGACATACCATTTATTCAAAATTGATTTCCCTTCCACATAGGATGCTACTGTTAAAATTTGGTCAAAATACCTTCATCCCAACTGAAGAAAAGGGGTATTAAAGCTATTCCTCTATATATCTTATTGGGGGGTCAGGCCAAACGTTTATAAAAATTGGTTCCCCTTCACCAAGGGTGCTTTATACCAAATTAAGACATAATCCTGTCGTTCCTACAGAAGAAGAAGAATTTTGAAGAATTTGCTTTGTTTCCCCTATTGGGCCCCACCCCTCTGCCCCCAGGGGGGCCACACTCACTGTCTATACAAATTGAGTTCCCTTAGCCAAAGGATGCTCGAGACTAATTAAGGATAAAATCCCTTAATCTCTACAGTAGANATCGTTCCTACAGAAGAAGAATTTTGAAGAATTTGCTTTGTTTCCCCTATTCGGCCCCGCTCCTCTGCCCCCAAGGGGGCCACACCCACTGTTTATACAAAATTGAGTCCCCTTGGCCCAAGAATGCTCCAGACTAAATTAGGTTAAATTCCCCTTCCCAACGTTTATACAAAATGTAGTCCCCTTGGCCTAAGGATATGCACCAGACTAATTAAGGATAAAATCCCTTAATCTCTACAATAGAAGATGGATTTTTAAGGTTTTACCTCTATTTTCATTATTTGGCCCCGTCCCTCTGCCCCCAGGGGGGCCACACTCACCGTTTATACAAAATTGAGTCTCCTTAGCCGAAGGATGCTCTATACTAATTAAGGATAAAATCCCTTAATCTCTACGGTAGAAGAACGATTTTAAAGGTTTTACCTCTATTTCCACTATTTGGCACCGCCCCTCTGCCCCCAGGGTGGCCACACCCACCATTTATACAAAATTAAGTCCCATTGGCCCAAGGATGCTCCAGACTAATTTAGGATAAAATCCTTTAATGCCTACGATTCTGACCAGGTGAGCTAAATATCCCTTAATCCCTACCGTAGAATAAGGATTTTAAAGGATAACTTCTATTTCCCCTATTTGACACCGCCCATCTGCCCCCAAGGGGACAACACCCACCGTTTCTACAAAATTAAGTCCACTTGGTCGAAGGATGCACAAGATTAAATTAGGATAAAATCCCTTAATCCCTACGGTAGAAGAAGGATTTTAAAGTTTTACCTCTATTTCCCCTATTTGGCACCGCCCCTCTGCCCCCAGGGGGGTCACACCCACCGTTTATACAAAATTCAGTCCCCTTGACGACAGACGCTGCGGTATGGCATAAGCTCTCCATGGTCCTTTTGACCAGGTGAGCTAAAAATTGGAATGGTAAAACTGTAGGATGTGCTGTCTGGACAAGTTTCCATCTACAGACCATAAACAGACTATCTGATTTCAATACAGCACCTACACCACTACCCCCTTAATTCCTTGCTAAGGTTATATACATGTAGAGCAGTACCTGAGTGTCTTCACATACACAGTACTTAGAGAGGTTATTCACCTCAAAAATACATTGTATTCAAAATACTACTTATTATCTTAAATTTTTATAGATCAATTAGTGTGTAATTTAAATAATACTTCTAATAGTTGAATTATTTAAACCCCAAATAATCTTCACCACACCTGTAAATATTTACCTGTTTCACCTGTTAGACAAGGCCTGCAAAGTTCTATCATCAATCACTCCATTCACTATATATATACTGGTATGGTAACGGTAACATTATATGTATGTACCATATGTGCACCTGTATAGGTGTTTATACTTACCTATGTGAATAAGTAAATTAAACTTGCTGACCCTATTTTTAGCCTGAGGTGGGATTCCCCTCTAGACACAACTGATCATGTACATACGAAATAAACAAACGATTGTGAATTTCTTTACAGCTTGAACATCAAAAGATTATGTAGCTAAAACGTACAACATAACTTTGTTGTCGGTGCCCGAGGTTATGTACATCAGAGCCAATCAGATTAGTTTTGTCATTGAAGTTTTAATCTATGACAATTTAATAGACTTGCACAAGTCCTTTATGACAAAAACAATTCTTATTATTTTCAGAACTAAGTAAATAAAGGATTACCTGTATTTGAAATTGAGGTGCTAACAGAATTTTTTTAATTGGAATTTCAGGAAGAGGAAGAGGATTTGCAATATAAATGGTAGTAAAAAGGTTGGCCTTTCGATCGATTTTTGTTTTTAATCACAAATTTCACTAGGAAAAATTTAGTGAAGAATTACTTAAAAACATATCTATAAAGTATATTTTTTCACAAAGAGGTGTTAATTTTAGATTTTAAAAATATTGGTACATCATCAGCTGGTTAGAACTATTTTTTAAACAATGCATATTAGCTTACAACTATCATAAGATTTAGTTGCATATATTATTAAACGCCAGCTTAAAGATGGCCGAGGTAAAATAGTCTACACCTGACTGAACAACATCTGCAAATGTTTTATATAACATGACGCCATGGGAAATAAAAGATGCCAAGGGGCCTAATAATAAGTCTCTCGGTATTTTAATTTAACTAAAAATACATGAAGTTTGTCACATTGTATTTCAAAACATCAAAACATTAAACAAACAGACAAAATGAGCCAAAATTTATTAACAAGTCTTTATATATGCTCTAATGGATAGGGCCCCATCTGCCCATAAAGAGGCTGTGCTTCATATTTATACACTATTTTAAATCCCCTGTAGCCAAGGATCCTTTAAACCAACTTAGTTTATCTGGTCATTTGTTATAAAGGATTATTCTTAAGAATACTTAAATTAACATCTAATCCTCTGTTGGACCCCGCTCCTCTATCTGATAGGTGAGGGTCACCATGCATGATACTTGCCAATTTGTTTTAAATTAAAAACATTAATAAAATGTGTCTTTATATATATATATCCCCTAGGGACAAAATGACACTTTAAATTGGCATATTTTAAGCTGTTCTTTCGTATGAAATCATCAGATCTTAGAAAATAGGAATAGTTTAGCAAATGTTAAGGTTCAAACTCATGGGTCTCCATCCAAAATAGGAGAGTTGGCAAATATGGGACATATCCTTTATCTACACAACATTGTTGTATTGTTGGACCAGGTGAGCTAATAACATCATAAAAGATTTGTGAATTTACTAGTCATAGAACTATTGCCCAATGTAAACCACATAGAAAAGGAAAATGATTAAAATGATTTGTATATTTTACATCTGTACCTATAAAGGTACCAGCTATAGAAACATTTCTAATGTAAAGCCCGGTGTTCAACAGCTGGAAACACTGAGACTTGGTTAGTTTCGTTTGTACACTATCTTACAGCTGGGTAATTAAGTGATTATGACTACATCAATTAAAGCTGAAAACAACATCTACTTAGATTTAGAAGGTCATGAATCATAGATTATATAACTTTATAAAAATAAGAACATTGATGTAAACAAAATCTATCTACATCATTGATGTAACATAAAACCTGTCTACACTGGACACTAACGATGTCAATTAAAACCTGTCTACACTGGACACTACTGACTTAAGGATCACTGTCGCAGTGCACTCTGGTTTTTATCTAGATAGAGTAACCTTAATTTAACATTGGGTTCCGTTTGCATCTAACTGTAGCACAGTTGGGCCAGGTCACTTCCATTGACCA